CCTAACACACAGAATGGAACAGTTTAATCTCTACCCACACAACTAACTCCAAAACAGAACACAGCAAAAACCTAGTAGAATGTACATCTAACTCCCTTATCTCCTGGCTCACATCTCAGGGTCACACAGATCCTACTGTTCTATTATTATTATTTTTTTTTTTTTTTTTTTGAGCCAGAGTCTCACTCTGCTGCCCAGGCTAGAGTGCTGTGGCGTCAGCCTAGGTCACAGCAACCTCCAACTCCTGGGCTCAAGCAATCCTGCTGCCTCAGCCTCCCAAGTAGCTGGGACTACAGGCATACGCCACCATGCCCTGGCTAATTTTTTCTATATACTTTTAGTTGGCCAATTAATTTCTTTCTATTTGTAGTAGAGACAGGGTTACTCAGGCTGGCCTCCAACTCCTGACCCTGAGCCATCTGCCTGCCTCTTCTCCTAGAGCGCTAGGATTATGGGCGTGAGCCCCGCACCCGGCCTGTTTTATTATTTTTTTATAATATCTTTGTTATTATTATTTTGTACTTATAACCAACTTTAATAGCAGTTCCTGTTGGGTTTTTATTCAGTTTTATTTCCCCCTAAACCTCCAGTTCTTTAAGACTAACGATATCTGCTTTCTCCAAGTGTTTGTCATTCTCTCTTGTGACTTCCCTGGGGGAAATCAGAAATAGCTGATAAAGTAGATCTCAGATCCAGCTTTTTATGGTGAGCTAAGCTGAAAAGAGGTTGGGATATGCATCCTTTGTTATCAGAGCAAAGCAGGAAAAAGAATTTTGTTCAAACATTTACATTTTTATAGCTGAAGGCAATGAGAGGATGGGAAGAAGTGGGTTGGGTATGAGACAGGCTCGGAGTTTGGATTCCCGTGCTGCCACTTATCAGCTTTATGCCCTTAACCTCACTGAGTTCCTGTTCACTGTCTGTAAAATGGAATGACTCTCTCTGCCACAAGGGTGCCCTACGGTCATAATGAGATGTACACCGAGGGTGTAAGGACACAAGAGAGCCTCGATAAACTTGCCCTCTGGACCAGGGCAGGCACTAGTGAGCGGATGCCCACCCGATATCCAACTCAGCCACACACACTCCCTCCTCTCTAGTAGAACTCCCATTTTCTTCCAGTGGCCACAGCATGTGCTTCAGGACAGCCTGTCCTCAGCCTCAGTTCCAAGGCTATTTCCTAGTTGGTCTGAGACAATCACAGTGGTCCCATTTCCCTTGTTAGACACTGAATGGGTGCATGAAATAATTCTGCACCAGTGAGACATGACCTTCGGTCACCTTTGGTTGAAAGGAAGTTCTGAGCTTTCCTTTGTTAAATGAAACTAAATCTGGCTTGAGGAGGCCTCCATACAATTGCAACCTTAGTACCAAACTAACTGAAAGCCTGACTAGGAGTATACTTTTGTAACAAATAGCTGAGTCTCTGCCAATCACAGCAGCCGAGCTTCAGACAGTTGCAGGCAGCCCACTGTTCAAACTGTGTTCAAATAAAGCAAAGGCAGAGCTGTAACCAATCAGCTGTCTCTGTGCCTCATTTCCATTTTCTGTCCATAAATGCTTTCAGGCCATGGTTGCATCCTTGGAGCTCTCTGAACCTGTCCTGCTCCTGATTCTAGAACTGCAAACAAAAGCCAATTAATATCTGCAAAACTTGATTTGCTGTATTGTGTCTAACATCTTGTTCTTTATTATTTATTTATTTAGAGACAGAGTCTAGCCCTGTTGCCTGGCCTAGAGTGCCGTGGCATCAGCCTAGCTCACAGCAACCTCAAACTCCTGGGCTCTCCGCCACCTCTGCTTCCAGCCAGGGTGGCGCTGCCAAGCCAGGCCCAGCTCCCCTCCCGGTCCCCACCCGGGAGCAGCCATGTCCCAAAGGATTTCCATAGAGACCCTTCTTAGGAGGCAGGACTGCCTGGAATGAGACACAGCCTGCAGGAACAAAGGTGTCGTGGAAACATGTGCCTAATCTATAAAGAAATCCTGTTCTAAATCTTATATATTGTACAGAAAAACACTGTTCCTAACGAGAGGAGTGACGTATTTTCATCACTGTTTTTCATTTGTTTTCTTACGGGTTTACGATTTTTGAATTTTTCTTATTTGGTTGAAAGAAAGAATTTTGATTATATCCGCTGAGTGAGTTCAGCCTATAAAAAGGATGTTAAGTTGTGAGTAAAATATGCAAATGAAGAGAAATATATTGTACAAATTCTATATAAAAAAGTAAAAAAAAAAAAAAAAAAAACTCCTGGGCTCAAGTGACCCTCCTGCCTCAGCCTACCGAGTAGCTGGGACTATAGGCTTGCACCACCACGCCCAGCCAATTTTTATATTTTTAGTAGAGACAGAGTCTCTCAGTCTTGCTCAGGCTGGTCTCAAACTCCTGAACTCAAGCAAGCCTCGCGCCTCCCAGAGTGCTAGGATCACAGGTATGAGGCACCCTGCCTGGCCTAGCACCTTGTTCTTAAAAGGACACATGAGATGATCCCCTTTCCTGCCTGTAGATATTGTCATGTCTGGAATCACGTTCGGAAGGGCTGCAGCCAGGCTTTGACAAGGGCAATGAGCTTGAAGACAAAACCAACACAAAAGGAGAACAGAGCAGAAATATGGAAAGGCCCTGTGCCAACTGATAATGAGTCAACCTCAAACTTCATGTTATCAGAGATAATAAGTGTCATTATTTACTCCTCTCTAAGCCAGGTTTGGTATTTGCAGCCTCAATGATACACGAACCTGTTGCCTGAGGGTTCAAATGCCTGACTTAAGGCTATCAAGTGCTAGCACACAGTAGGGACTCAACATTAATTTTGTCTAATATCAAATGAAGGACATACGATAGTCCCCTGTAGAAAGACATGTAAAAACACTCTGGGCACCCAATGACTAGTAGATCAAGAGCAAAACATTCCTGCATTCCTCCTTTGCCATCTTTAAAACACATTAAAGCCTGCTCATTCTTGTATCTTTTTCTTCTACGGATTGGAGAGTGCCTGCGGGTCTCAAACCGCTCCTGCAGGGGAGAGTTGAAAGCTGATGCTTTGTCAGAGGAAGGGCTGCGCTAGAGCCAGTCCTTCATTTTTAAATATATATTTTTAAATCATTCATATATATTTAATAATTACCAAGCTCCCACAACGTGGAGAGAAAAACTGACAAAAAAGTGGGAGCCCATAGGCAGAAAAGTGAACAGAAAGTGCAGGGAAGTTATCATAAACATCTATGTAGACCACAGGTGAGGCATAAAAATGGGAGGCTGTCAGGGTGGGGGTCCACCAGACTCGGTGAGGGGTGGTCAGAAGCAGACATATGGCAAAGGGAGCCAAAGGCACTGGGGCAGGAGAGCCACCCTGGCCCGAGGCCTGTCAGGAGACTGCACAGCGTGGCATGGCTGGAATGGACAGTGCAATGGCAGCACGCAGGCAAGATAAAGCCCTGCTCTAGGAGCAAGGTCAAAAGGATGAAGCAGGCTGAGGGGCAAGGCCTGCAGGATCATTGCGTGCTGGTCTGGAGTAGCAAAGGATGGAGGACCTTCCCATGTGGGGCCAGAGCGGCCACCTGGGTGAGACCTATGGCACCTTGAGCAGGAGCCAGATCCCCTGTGTGGATGGGTGGTCTACACATCAGAAGTCCTGGTTACAGCCCCTGCTTTGTCACTGGGACTGTCACTTCTCCTCCTTGAGCCTCTGGGTCCTTCTCTGTTAAATGATAGGATGGGGCTGGACGGGATGGCTCACATTTGCAATCCCAGCACTTGGGGAGACCAGGAATTCAAGACCAGCCTGAGCAACATAGAGAGACCCCGTCTCTACAAAAAATAAAATTAGCCAGGCATGGTAGTGCATGCTAATAGTCCCAGCTACTCGGAAGCTGAGGTGGGAGGACTGCAGGAGACCAAAAGTTCAAGGTTACAGTGAGCTAATAATTGTATCACTGCACTCCAGCCTGGATGACAGAGTGACACCCAGTCTCTAAAAAACAAAAGACAGGATGGGCCAGATGATCTTTTTTTTTTTTTTGAGACAGAGTCTTGCTTTGTTGCCCAGGCTAGAGTGAGTGCCATGGCATCAGCCTAGCTCACAAGAACCTCAAACTCCTGGGCTCAAGCAATCCTGCTGCCTCAGCCTCCCAAGTAGCTGGGACTACAGGCATACGCCACCATACCTGGCTAATTTTTTTCTATATATATTAGTTGGCCAATTAATTTCTTTCTATTTATAGTAGAGACAGGGTCTCGCTCTTGCTCAGGCTGGTTTCGAACTCCTGATCTCGAGCAATCCGCCCGCCTTAGCCTCCCCGAGTGTTAGGATTACAGGCGTGAGCCACCACGCCCAGCCCCAGATGATCTTTACAGGCCTCTCAAACTGCAGTCCTAGGGTCCTTAGGTACGAAGCACCTGGATTCATTCCATAGAGATGGCCCAGGGCAGAGAAGGCAATCAAGCTCAACCTTGAATGCCAACTGCAACTAATTGGTAGTGGCTACCTGTTGTGCCGTACTGAGAAAAACTGCAAAAACACTTCGAACTCCACAAAAAAGAATGCCTGTGATTGATTAGTGACATCTGCTGCGGGTTCAGGATGCCCAAATGGTACTAGGAGTGGCAGGAATTTGCCGTTGCTACCTTAATATATTGCTTCTTACTATGGTGGCAGGAATGTGCCAACTATCCATGGTATAAAGATACTGAAGATTAATTACTCCTGGAGTCATTTGTGAAACAGTGTGAGGGTCCCCTCAGCCAACCCTGTCCTCACTCAGTCTGACACCCTTAAGGTGGCTTGCCACTCGTTCCCAATACTCTGTGCTTCTTGCTTCTATCCCTGCTGGTCCATCACCTCTAAATGTCTTATCTTCTGCGGGTAACTCTGACCCTCCTCTCCTGAAGCCAAGACACACTAACTAGTTACATAACAGTTACATAACAGTTACTAACCAAGAAAGGAGACCTTCCTTTAAAACATGTGGCCAGTAAACAATCCTGATTATTTCTCTACACGTTGCCTTTTATTTCCCATCCCCTGGCATCACCCTCCCCTCCCACACAGGGTCATGGCTCTCAAGACAGATGGGCCACATTGCTGGTGACAGACAGCAGGGTTATTTCATACACTAGGGTAGTAGGCTCTGGTACAGCTGGCAGGAAGAGAGGTGTAATTATATTGCATCTCGGAGCCACGAGCAATGAATTTCTGCATAAAGGACTAGATTAGCCATGTATTATTTACGTCACCATCAATTTTTCCAGCTGGCTCTATTTCCTGTGCAAATTCTCCTCTGTTTATGGGCAAGGCCATGGTTCGGCACCTCTGGTTACTCTATGCAATGGAGGGGCCCCACAGGGCACCATGCATATTAAAGAACTGACTGGATTCACCAGGAGCTGGTCACATCCTCCCTTCCTGTTAAATTATATCCCTGGGACTGCAGCGGGCTCACATTCTCACCTAGTCACGGTGACGCATGCAGGTGTGTGAAACCAAATCAACAAGAGGAAAGCAGGAATACCTTCTTGGAGGCCTTGCTAGGGGAAACCGAAAAACCTTCTGGGGGGGAATCAGGTGGCTCTGGGGCTCAGAGAATTTCCTTTTTATATTTTTAAGAGCAGAACACAGTTGAAGAAGTTTTGCATTTATAAGGTTATTTCCACCCAGGAACTCAGGGATAGAGCTAAGGGAAAAGTGGCCCCCCATCTTACAGACAGAAAAGCAGAGGCCCAAAAAAAAAAAAAAACAGAGAAAGAGATTGAGAGAGAAAGAGAGAAGCCAAGGCAAGCTAGAGGCTTCCTGGCTCGGTCTCTGTGCCAGGATGGAGCACAAGACACAATGGTGACACACAGTGCTATCCACCCGGTCACTAGCATGCTTCTTCACAGATGCCCCAAGCCAGGGTGAACTTGGCGCCCCCTGGAAACACACATGGTAGAAACAAGGGAAAGAAACATGGCACCAGCATGAATTTCTGGGCCCTCCCACCGCAGCATCCTCTCTCGCCTGTAGCATCCAGACAGTGAAGCTGAGGACACTGAGATGTCTCTTCTGGCCAGCCTGAGAACTCCTGCAGTCCCAAGTGCTGGGTGGCAGTAAACACCAGGCATTCCCGGGAAGGACTGCTTCCCAATCAACAGCAGCAGTCACGTCTGATCTCCCTGTAACTCGGGGCTCTGCTCTGGAGTCCCCCAGGTCCCAATGTCTGCCATCTCCTGGAGACCTGTCGGCTGGAAGAAATAGGAAGGAAAGCCAAGTGGAGTTAAGCACCACAAGTGAGTAGCTCCTTTTGTTTCATAGTCTTAGCATCTAAAGAATTCTTCTGTAAGATACTTGTGGGCACGGAAACCACCCCCTCCACCAGGCCCAAGATTACTGGCATCCCCCTGGGGCGGCCTCACCTGCCGGGGAGATTTGGTCAGACACACAGTGCGCTGGCTTCCTGATGCTTCTGCTTCCTCGATGGTGTCTAGCAGAATCCGGGTGCTGGGCACAAAGCTCCAGGAGCGCCCAAGGGCAGGTTTCAGCTTCCCGCTGTCCCTGTCTCGGGTCATATGATTGGTCACCTACAGCAGAGAGACAGACTTACAGATCCAGTGTTAGTATAGAGGACATCCATTCCTACTGCTTCAGTAAACTGAGGCCTAGCACAGAGAAATGACTTCCCCAAGGCTTCGTAACTTAACGGCGGGTCTGGAACTAGAACCTGGGGCTCCTCACTTGCACCCAGCTCTTTCCACTAAGCCTTGATACCTCAGGCTTGACCCCAAACAGAAGGCAATGGGGCAAATGTCTGGGGAAAAGCAAAAGCAGTGCTATTTGCACTTTTCTAAAGGAAAGCCAGTGGTGGGCTTGAGCCTACTATACTCCCAACCCCAAAGACAGGCACCCAGAGACCCCGTCCACCCAGCCCTTCGTGTCTGGGTCCGTCTGTGTATGAAGGTCAGGCAGAGTTTGGAGGGGGGTCCTAATCTGATCGGTCAGCACTACTCTACCCAGGCTAGTCACAGAGGTAAGCAACTGGAGCCTCAGAGCATCTTCTGGATGAACCCGTCAAGGGCGGGGCTGGGGCCTGTTCGTCATCATCACTGCCTAAGCCAGAACCTGGCACACAGCAGGTGATCACATACATCCAGAGGCCAGGACAGGAGGCTCTGGGACCTTGTATTAGAACAAAAAAATTACGGAAATAGATCCTGTTACACTGCCAGAGGGCGCACAAATGAGTACAACCCTCCTGGAAATTCCGCAATGTCATATCTAGACATTTAAAAATACATGTATCCCTCAGTAATTATATATTTAGGACTTTATTTTGAGGAAATGAGATGTGCAAAGAGATTTAGATATGAGGATGTTCACTAAAGTTTTATTTCTAATAGAGGAAAACCAGTAATGACCTAAAGGCCCAACAATTAAGAATTCGTTAGAACATTATTGAAGAGCAGAGGTTGGCAAACTGCAGTCCACAGAGCAAATTTGGCCTGAACATTTTTTTTTTTTTTTTTAGTTGGCCAATTAATTTCTTTCTATTTTTTTTTTTTTTTTTGTAAATCAAGTTTTATTGGAACACAGCCATGCCCACTTGTTTATGTGTTGTCCATGGCTGCTTTCATGCTATACTGGCAGAGTTGAGTAGTGGTGACACAGACCATATGGTCGTAAAGCTTCAAATATTTACTGTCTGATCCTTTGCAGAAAGAATATGCTGATCCCCGTGGATCTCTATGGTATAGGCATTAAACAAAATAATATGTAGCTGTACAGCCGCTCTGGAAAACAGTGTGGTGGCTCCTCAAAAAATTAAAAATAGAATTACCATATGATCCATCAATTCCAATTCTGGGTGTACACTCAAAAGAAGTGAAAGCAGGGACACAGAGATATTTGTACACCCACGTTCATGGCAGCATTACTCACCGTAGCCAAAAGGTAGAAGCAATCCAAGTGTCCATAAACAGTTGAATGGATAAGCAAAATGTGGCAAATACACACAATGGAATATTAATATTATTCATCCTTAAAAAGGAAGGAAATTCTGACACATGCTACAACATGGATGAACTTTGAGGATATTCTAATAGTGAAATAAAGCAGTCACAAAAAGACAAATACCATATGATTCCACTTATATGAAGTACCCAGAGTAGTCAAAAGCTAGATTCAGAAAGTAGAATGGTGGTTGTCAGGGACTGGGGTAGAGGAGAATGAGGAGTTACTTTTGAGCATAGAGTTTCAGTTTGACAATAGGAAGAGTTACAGAGATGGATGATGGTAATGACTGTACAACACTATGAATGCATTTACTATTACTGAACTCTATATATATTTTTTGGAGACAATGTCTTGCTTTGTTGCCTGGGCATGAGGGCAGTGGTGTGATAACTCACTGCAACCTCAGACTCCTGGAGCTCAAGTGATCCTCCTGCCTCAGCCTTCTGAATAGCCGAAAATACAGGTGCACACAACCACACCCGGCTAATTTTTCTATTTTTTGTAGAGATGGGGTCTCTGTTGCTCAGGCTGGTCTTGAACTCCTGACCTCAAGCAGTCTTCCCACCTCAGCCTCCCAAAGTGCTGGAATTACAGGCATTGAGAACTGTATACTTCAGCCCTGAACTGTATACTTCAAAATGGTTAAGACAGTAAATTTTATGTGTACCACAATAAAAGACATTAGACAAAGATATGTAGCTGCTAAAAATGAAATTTAAAAAAATATTTTTAAATTTTTAATTATTATGGGTACATTATAGTTGTATGTCTTTATAACGTGATGTTTTTATATAGGCATACAATGTGAATTAATTAAATCAGGGTAATTGGGGTATCCAACACCTCAAGCATTTATCATTTCTTAGTGTTAGGAACATTCCAATCCTACTTTTTAGTTATTTAAAAGTATACCACTTCTGTTTGCTGCTTCTGGTAAAAAATGAAAAAAAAAGAAAAAAAAAAAAAAGTATACCACTAACTTATTGATTATAGTCACTTTGTTGTGCTCTCAAATATTATTCATTCTAACTCTATTTTTGCACTCATTAACCATCCTCTATCTCCCCCTCCATGCTATCCTTCCCAGCCTCTGGTAACTGTCATCCTACTCTCTGTCTCCATGAGATCAATTATTTTTAATATTTACCTCCCACATGAGTGAGAACATGCAAGATTTGTCTTTTTGTACTTGGCTTATTTCACTAAACATAATGTTCTCCAATTCCATCCATGTTGTTGCAAATGGCAGGATTTCATTCTTTTCTATATAATATCCTATAGTGTATATGTACAATTTCTCTATTCATTCATCCATTGATGGCCACTTAGGTTGATTCCAAATCTTGACTATTGTGAACAGTGCTGCAATAAACATGGGAGTGCAGATATCTTTTCCATATACTGATTTTTCCCTCCTTTGGATATATACCCATATGGTCATGGCCTGGCATGGTGGTTCATGCCTGTAATCCTAGTACTCTGGGAGGCCGAGGCGGGAGGATAGCTTGAGCTCAGGAGTTTGAGACCAGCCTGAGCAAGAGCAAGACCCTGTCTCTACTATAAATAGAAAAAAATTAGCCAGGCACAGTGGCCTGTAGTCCCAACTACCTGGGAGGCTGAGGCAGAAGAATCACTTGAGCCCAGGAGTTTGAGGTTGCTGTGAGCTAGGCTGACACCATGGCACTCTAGCCCGGTCAGATAGTGAGACTCTGAAAAAAAAAAAAAAAAAAAAATATGGTCATATGGTAGTTTTATTTTTAGTTTTTTGAGGAACCTCCATCCTGTTTTCCACAGTGGTTGCACTAATTTATGTTCTCACCAACAGTGCATGAGGGGGCCACTTTCTCCACATCTTCACCAGCATTTGTTATTGTCTGTCTTGTTGATGAAAGCCATTTTAACTGGGGTGAGATGCTATCTCATTATAGCTTTGATTTGCATTTCCCTAATGACTAATGATGTTGAGTATTTTTTCTTATAACTGTTGACCATCTATGTGTCTTCTTTTGAAAGATATGTATTCAGACCCTTCGCACATTTTTTAATCAGGTTATTTGATTTTTTCCTATTGAGTTGTTGGAGCTCCTTATATATTCTAGTTATTAATCCCTTGTCAGATGGGTAGTTTGCAAATATTTTCTCCCATTCTGTGGGGTTGTCTCTTCACCTTGTTGACTGTTTTCTTTGCAGTGCAGAAACTTCTTAGCTTGATGTGATTCCATTTGTCCAATTTTGCTTTGGTTGCCTATGCTTTGGGGTTATTACTCAAGAAATCATTGCTCAGACTCATGTCCTGAAGCATTTCCACAAATTTTCTTTTAATAACTTCATACTTTGGGGTCTTAGATTTAAGTCTTTAATCCATTTTGATTTGATATTTATATATGGTAAGAGATAAGGGTTTAGTTTCAGTCTTCTGCACATGGATATCCAGTTTTCCCAGCACCATTTATTAAAGAAACTGTCCTTTCCCCACTGTGTGTTCTTGGCTAAAAATGAAATCCTTAAAGATTCTATTTAAAAACATGGGAAATGGACTGAGAATGCAAGTTATGTTGTTTTTTTTTAAAATAAGGTTAAGTTTAGTTAGAAAATTGGTTGAAAGTATATATGTAGAAAAAATATTTTATGGAGATATATAAAAATATTAATATGGTTTCTATGGATTTGGAGATTGATTACAACTTTTAATTTTATATTTAACTACTTTTTACTCTTTCTATGAGAAGCATGCAGACTTTTCTTTTTTTTTGAGATAGAGTCTCACTTTGCTGCCCAGGCTAGAATGCCATGGCATCAGCCTAGCTCACAGCAACCTCAAACTCCTGGGCTCAAGTGATCCTGCTGCCTCAGCCTCCCGAGTAGCTGGGACTACAGGCATGCACCACCATGCCAGGCTAATTTTCTCTATATATTTTAGTTGGCCAATTAATTTTCCTTCTATTTTTAGTAGAGACAGGGTCTCACTCTTGCTCAGGCTGGTTTCAAACTCCTGACCTTGACTGATTCTCCCGCCTCAGCCTCCCAGAGTGCTAGGATTTACAGGCATGAGCCACCATGCCCAGCCTACACGCAGACTTTTAAAATACTTTCTTCATAAGCAGAAAAAGTTACTTCTACAGCAAAAAGATCCATTTATATGATGTTCTAGAAAAGGCCAAACTATTGGGACAGAAAACAGATTGAGTGGCTGCCTGGGGCTAGGGGACCTTTCGGTGAGATAATAAGATCACATACAACTGTATCCATTAGTCAAACTTCAAACAAGGAGAAAGTTACTCTAAGTAAGTTATACCTCAATAAGCCTGACTTTTAAATAACTAGAAAGAAAAACAAGACAGTCCCTGATCCCCTTGGCTATTTATGGCCCAGAGGTCTAGCTAACCCAGGGAGCTGGGCTATGTTCTCTGCTCCTTTCCTAAAGGGCCACTTTGGGGTTCAGAAGCTGCCATTTAGGGGAAATAAAGAGCTAGCCCTAACTAGAAACTGAGCGCGCTGGCCAAGCCTGCTTCCTCACCACCACTGCTGTGCCCAGGTCCCGGGCCAGAGTCTTCAGCTCTCGGGCCAGCTGCATCATCAAGGCGAAGCCTGGGGGCAGAGGAGAGGCAGAGAGAGGGGGCAGCGGGAGGCCAGGGACGAGACTAGCTGATGATCAGACCCCAGAGTGAGGGGACAGTGGGAGGCCAGGGACAAGACTGGCTGGTGACCAGACCCCGAGCTGGGAGGTGAGGTTAATGGTCCCCTGAGGCCAGGCTCCGCTGCACCACTCACCTTCCCTCTGCTGCCCTCCCAGGAGCGGGGAGACCACCGCGGCAACCGAGTCCACGACCACCACCTTCACAGTCCCTGAAGAACTGGTCACCTGGAGGGGTGAGGGAAGCAGGTCCCATGAACCAGCTGGCCTCCAGGGAACACCCAGCACGGGACGAGCTTGCTCCTCTATCCGAAACCAGTAAGAAATAACCTCCCCCATCCCAAACACACCCACCACGGGCATCACCAAATGTGATCATCGCAGGGCCTCCCCCAACCGTCCCAACCCCCACCTTTGCATGTATAACAGACTTTACTGAAGACCTGGGTAGAAAGAGAAGGCTTAAATCACAGGCCATCACAAATAGACCAAAACAACCAAATTTTAGGACACCTGATTCAGAGTCCTGTGCCTCCTGGCCGTGGACCTCTCGGTGGCCATCTTTCTCCTATGTCCAGCCTCCCTCCATGGGCCCTTTTCCTTCTCTGACTCCCTCCTGCTGACTTCCACTCCCAAATTCCTCACTTCCCTGGCTGAAGAGTTTAGCTTTCTCTTTATTTCCCTGCCTTCTCCTAGATCATGTCTCCAGGTCCTCATCTTCCCCTATCTAATATGTTTTCAAATAAAGATAGTTCTTTCTCTAAGAGGAACTCCAAGACCATCTTTCAACCATAACTTTTTTGTCTCTATACAATCATTAGCATTCCCCTGGTTTCTCTGGGCCTAAACTGACTTGATGCTTCCTTTCTCTTCTCCTTTACTTCTTATATCCGGATTCTGTTTCTACAACATATTTTTTTTTCTATTTCATATGGGTCAGGTCTTGGATATTCGGCATGATCTGCTCTGTGTTTTGCACGTCTTCCTTCATCTTCCAGCTACTGACTCTTGGCCAGTCACCAGCCCGTCTAGGAGAAGATGCCAAAAAGAGGGAAGCTAAAACTGAAACTAGCTGAGCCCCTCTCCCGCCCCTGGGAGAGCAGGCTGAACTCTCTGGCTACAATGGGACGACAAGCCCTTTGCTGCCTGTGACTATGAAGCTACTATATTTTTCACAGCAGGGCCACTGGATGACATGTTTTCTATTATTGCATAACAAGTTACCATGAACTTGGTGGCTTAAAACAGCATGTTTATTATTTCACAGTTCTGCCACAGGTCATCTGTGGCAGACAGAACCTAAGGGGGCCCCTGTGATTCCCACCTTCAGGTACAAGCCCTTGTATCATCTTTTCCTCTTGAGCATGGGCAAGACCTGAGACTTGCTTCTGACCAGTAAGATGTCAAAGGCGTTGCAATGTCACTCTCTTGATTAGGCTACATTCTACACTCTAGGCAAAGGTAATGGAATATCACTCCTGTGATTACATTTTTTTTTAAGAGAGACAAGGTCTCACTCTGTCGCCCAGGCTGGAGTGCAGTAACCCAATCACTGCAGCCTTGAACTCGTGTGCTCAAGGGATTCTCCTGCCTCAACCTCCTGAGTACACACCACCATGCCCAACTAATTTTTCTATTTTTTGTAGAGACAGGGTCTTGCTATGTTGCCCAGACTGGTGTTGAACACCTGGCCTCAAACAGTCCTCCTGCCTCAGCCTCCCTAAGTGTTGGATTACATGCCTGAGCCATCATGCTTGGCCCTGTCGTTATGTTATTTTATATAAGAACTGGTATGGCTACTTGCTCTCACTTTCCTGGCCTTGAAGAAGCAAGTGGTCATGCTATAAACCCACTGTGGAAAGGGCCATGAGGCAGGAGTAGTGAGCAGCCTCTAGGAGCTTTATAAAGAAAGTCTCTGGCCAACCTGGAATTGAGAAGTTTGCTCAGTAAAGTTAGTTCTTATCCAAAATATATGGTGACTTCGGGCAACTCAACTTCTCTGGCCTTCGCTCTCCTAATATCTAAAAACGAAACAGTTAGGTCAGCACTACTCAACTTCCCATCTCAACACACTGGTGGGTCATAACCAGCTACTAACCTCTATGGCAAGTATTTGTTCAACTATTATATGTTCTAAAGCTTATAGAAATCATTTTCTTTATATACAATCCTGGGTATGTCCATGAGAATATGTGATGATTTGGAGTGAGAGAAAAAGTTTGTGATGAACTATTCTATCCTCAAGGTATCTTCGGGATCTAACAGTCTATATATATACACCAGTGTACCAAATCCTGTCAAAGCACCTAGCCGGAGTAGCACAGTACCAACCCAATGCCATTCTCAATTCTTTGTCAACAGGTCTCAACATGTTCAAGCACCAGGTAGATATCTCCTGACTTCAGGGAGGGTGGGCCCAGCCTCTGGTCCAAGATACACATATAACTCAGTTTTGGACAACTAGTTCTAAGGGGAAGAGGGAAGACTACTAGTGGGCTCTGGAGAAAGATTTTTCTTTCCTGATAAAGGGGAAGAGGTACAGAAAAGAACAATCTATCTTTCACTGCCCTGAATATGGACATGGATGTGTGAAGACAAGATGCTCAGAGCTACAGCAGCCACTTTGCAATTATGAGGAGAACCAGACTACAATCTAGTGCCCTAATATTCTGGACCTGGCAACCTCCAGACTCACATGATATAATTACACACCATCCTCAAGGTTCAAGTCTCTGTCAGACAACCTCTATTACTTGCAACTGAAAGTAAGTATTCCTAACTGATCTAGAAGGGAATGCAGAGATAGATATGACATGATCCCTCCACTTCAGGGGCTTACTGTTCAGCAGGGAAGACGAGCATGTCAGCAATGAGACATATGAATTAAGCACTGAAGAATTCTATCCAGGGAGTGGCAAACACAGCTGGAGTCATCAGATTGCACATCTGCATTTTCCAAACTGAGTCTGTAGTAGGACACCTGCCCACATACAGATAGCACCTGGCATGTTTAGTAAAGCAAGGAGGAACAGGACAGCAGGCTTACTTGCTGGGCCAGGGTGCCTCGAAGGTCCTGCAGCACATTCAGCACCTGGAAGATATCAAACGCGTGCACCACCTGGATCCTCTGGAGCGCTCCTGCCTGAAAAGGTGGAAAAGAGAAGCAGGGGCTTTGGATAAGGGGGAGTAGAAGGTTGAAGTGAGGCTGAAAAGGAAGAGGCACCTAGATGCAAGGACGTGGGTCCAGGATAGCGAATGGGCTTTGTCTAACGGGCCAGTTTTCACAGTAGTGGCTGCCTGGGTGCAGAGCTGTAGAGTACTCAGAAAGAACTCAGTGGCAAAGAGTGATATGGCCAATTAGTGATGCCTGCCATAGGCAAGAAATGGACTGGAAACACGGATGCGGGTGCTTGCCAGCCCTGACTTAGGGTAGGCAGGGAGTTGGGAGAGTTTCCTGAAAGGATTGATGAGGGCAGCACCCAAGCTGGGATGATGGCATTAAAGAGGAGGCTTAAGGAATACAGGATGTATTAATAGAACAGCAAGTTTCAAAGCAAGAAATGACTATTAACCCCAACAACCCAGATTCTTGCGTTGCAAGGGATGATGGGGTCTTCGTGGGTCAAAAATCTCAATGGAACCCATCCGTGCTGCCCCCATACCTGCTCCTCCTCATCCTGAGTTCTAGCCTGGAGTAGCTGCAGGAGGCGGGAGGCTGTCAACCCTCCACTGGAATCAACATACACGACGTTTTGCTGCAGGCCATGGGCCACATTTGCAGCTACACAAAGACATACCTGAGTAGAGAGGGGGAATGGGTGAACTTGAACCCTCTGAGAGGGCCTAGAAAGGGAGCTCCCCACCAAATCTTGCCCAGATTCCAGTGACACAAATGGCCCAAGTCCAAGCCCCACTGCTCATCACGCATCTTCTCTCTGTTGAGCTCTGAACCCGAGTACACTGGCAGAAGCTCCCCAAGGGATGCAGGGGTACGCATCCACCTCCCTCAATCCCCTTAGCTGCTGGCCTCACGCATACCTGGGTTTTGCCGCTACCTGGGCCTCCTACAATTTCAGTCACTTCTCCAGTATAGAGACCAGTATCGAGCAGCTTGTCCAGGCTGATGGCAGAAGACAAAAGAGAGTCAACACAGGTGATTAGGGAGAAGAGAGGGGATTAGGTGCCAAGAAGAAAAGCAAGACATTCCTTCCAAGCACTGGTTCTGTCTAGAGATGTTTTCAATGTCTCTGGCCAGGCTTCTCCTGGTGGAGCTTTGTTCTGGGAGGAAGGGCATGCCTAAATGTTCCTCCTCTGGTCTCTTTTCTTCCTTCCACTCTCAGCTTAAAGATCACCTCTCCAAGGCCAGGTGCAGTGGCTCACACCTGTAATCCCAGCACTCTGGGAGGCCGAGGCAGGCGGATTGTTTGAGCGCAGGAGTTCGAGACCAGCCTGAGCAAGAGCGAGGCCACGTCTCTATTAAAAACAGAAAGAAATTAGCTGGACAACTAAAAATATATAGAAAAAAATTAGCCGGGCACGGTGGTGCATGCCTGTAGTCCCAGCTACTCGGGAGGCTGAGGCAGGAGGATTGCTTGAGCCCAGGAGTTTGACGTTGCTGTGAGCTAGGCTGAAACCATGGCACTCTAGCCCAGGCAACAGAGTGAGACTCTGTCTCAAAAAATATATATATATCAGTTGTGCATACTTGTGGGAGTCTATGTCTGGGTTTTCTATTCTGTTCCATTGATCTATATATCTATCCATTGGCCAATACCACACTTGCCTTGATTACTATAGCTATAGAGCAAGTCTTAACACTGGGTAGAGTGATTCCTCCAAACTTATCTTTCTTTTTCAAAATTGTTTTAGCTAGTCTAGGTAAAACTAGCCTTTCTATATAATTATTTGAATAAGCCTGTCTATGTCAACAAAAAAAGGCTCACTGGGATTTTGGTAGGAACTGTATTAAATCTACAGATCCATTTGGGGAGAACTGACATCTTCACTATGTTGAGTCTCTCAATCCATAAACACACAATATCTCTCCATTTATTTAAGTCATCTTTGATCTCTTTCATCAGCAGTTTTTCCTTTTCAGCATATAGATCCTACACATGCTTTGTTAGACTTATCCCTAAATATTTCATTTTCTTTGAAGCAACTGTAAACGCTGTTGTGTTTTTAATTTCAGTTTTCACATGTTCATCATGAGTATAGAGACATGCAATTGATTTTTATGTGTTGATCTTGTATTGTGAGACCGGGCTCAACTCAATTTTTAGTTCTAGGAGTTTGTAATTATTTTTTATTTGCTTGTTTTTGTCTGTCTCCCTCATCTGGCAGAAGAACGCCCCGGGGCAAGGACTGGGCTCTGTCCCTGTTGCATCTCAGCACTACTAGCACAGTGCCTAAAACACAGGAGGCGGCCAATAAAAGTTACCAGAGAAACGAGTAGTAGAATGGTGCTATCACTTTAATTTAGTCCCTGCATTGTCAATTTTGGCTATGGAAGCCTTGGGACAAACCTCAAGACAGAGCCAATTCTTAATCCAGGTTCTGTCCCCGAACTGCATGACACAGATCACCATCCACCCTCCTACGCCACAGGCTGTACCAACACCTGACCACACACATCCCTTTCCTAACCCTGAAACCCCGTTCACAGCCTCTAGTCCTGGAAATGGTTCTTGAAGACCTCCCAGGACCTCTCTGTATATGCCCAGCAGCACTTCGGTAAACACCCATCTATATTAATTCCATGATTACACACCTACAGGTCCCTGCCACTCGAAAACACTCTGGTTACCACTCCAGCCCTGTGGCTTGAGATAACTGTGTTCACCCAGTCTCTGCTTAACAAGCATCCAGCCACAAGCATCTACCACTCCAGATCCCATTCTTCCCACTGAGATAAGGGAAACCCCAGTGTGGGTCCCCAGTGTGGTGCCCAGAACAGCAGCATCAGCAACATTTGGGAACTGGCTAGAAATGCAAGTTCTCAGCTCCCCCAACCTACTGAACCAGAAACTCCAGGGGTTGAGGGTGGAGCCCACATCTGAGTTTCAACGAGGCCTCCAGGTGATTTTGATGCACGCTTGAGAACCATTACACTAGTCATTCTCAACCCTGCCTGTACATGAAAACCACTAGGGGAGTTTTTAAAAAGATGCCTATTTCAGCAGTTCCCAAACCTGTCTGCACATTGGAGTCACCTGGGAGCTTCAAAAAATACGGATGCCTGTATCTCACCCCCAGAGAATGGGATTAATTGCTCTGGGGAGACTTGGGATTTGGAATGTTTTTTAAAAAAATTGCCCAGGTGATTCTAATGTGCAGACAAAATTGAGAACCACTGGCCTAGACCAATTAAGTTAGAATTTCTAGAGGTGGGAGCCACGCATGGTATCGCTTTTTAGATTTTCCAGATGATTCTTGTGTGCAGCCAGCGTTGAACTCATGACTCTACTTGGGAATCAACCACATCCTTGGCCGAGAGGAACAGTCTGTATAAGGTATCCCTAAATCCACCTCCCAGCCCACTCCTCACCTGTGTTTCTGCTACATTATCTCCTCCTGCATAGAGGATCTTCCTGCGAATATGTCCCCCATCATCTCTAACTCAGCACAACAACAGGGAGAGACCCCCGGCCTGCCTCATGGAACAGAAGTACACCTGGATTTTAACCACTGCCTAGAACACAGGTGATTTCTGGGATGTAGCTTCCACTTTTCCCTCTGAATTGCCTTTCAGCCATTTTTCATTGATTCATTCAAATATCGCCTGAATATCTCACGTCTCTTGAGGGCCTTATTCTAAAACGAGGTGACAAAGAGGTGAACAGACACAGCTCCAGCCTGCAAAGAGCCACCGATCTGATCTCCCCATTAACAGAGCTTTTCCTAAGGTCCATTACACGCTGTAGCACCCTGTAGGGACTCACACTGCAGCTCAGCACTAAAGGCTCTGAGAAGGCTTACAACAGAGGAACCTGCTTAATCTGGGTTAATCGGGCATTTCTGAAGCTTTTGATTACAGAGCTCCCCTCTCACCAAGTTTTAAAGTTACATCCAAGGCCAGGTGCAGTGGCTCACGCCTGTAATCCTAGCACTCTGGGAGGCCGAGGTAGGAGGATCGCTCAAGGTCAGGAACTTGAAACCAGCCTGAGCAAGAGTGAGACCTCGTCTCTACTAAAAATAGAAACAAATTAATTGGCTAACTAAAAATATGTAGAAAAAATTAGCCAGGCATGGTGGTGCACACCTGTAGTCCCAGCTACTCGGGAGGCCGAGGCAGGAGGATTGCTTGAGCCCAGGAGTTTGAGGTTGCTGTGAGCTAGGCTGACGCCACGGCACTCTAGCCCAGGCAACAGAGTGAGACTCCGTCTCAAAAAAAGAAAAAAGTCACATCCATTAACTGTCCGCAGCACACTATGAGGAAGGCTATAAACCTAGTGAGTCACCTTTGATTCTTCACACCTACATCCCTCCTGGTCGTAAGGGCTGTCACAGTTCTTCTCGAATATGTCTCCCGCTGTCACCTGCCCTAGATGGGACTCACATACCAGCACCAACCCCCAGAGCTGCTCTTGGCCTCTCCCACCCATCCACCCTGCACGCCTCTACCCACTGCCTGTAGCTCTCACACTGGCCTCCACCTCCAGGCAACAGGCAGACCAGTTAGAGATACATTCTCAGACTAAGGAGTGTGACAGACATGACCTCAAGTGCCTGGTCTGCTATTTACTGGCTGCGTGAACTTGAGCAAGCCCTTTAACCTGAGTCTCAATTTCTTTATATATATAACAATGATTTTAACAGTAACGTGCTCATTGGTGGTAGTGAAGGATAAACGAAATAATGGACCCTGAAGTGCTGAGCACAGTGTAAGCACTCAGCGAAAGCACATCTGCTCCTCAATGCCCAAGGTCCGATTCCTTTGGAGCTTTCCTGAACCACTGTGATCTCCCCTGCAGGGACCCACTGCAGCTGCAGTCCTTCCAGTTTACCACTTGACTGCTCCCTCCTTGTTTGCCAGTTTTTTACACTCCCCAAGGCCAATCTGCTTCCTGTTAATCACTCCCTCCCTACATGCTACACCCCTCTCCTGTTCACCAACTTTCCTCCTACACCCACTAGACACCTTAAAGGCAGGACCATGCCTCATTCGTGTAGGCATCGTCTGCACATATCTGGCACTCTGCAGGCACCTGGTGACGTTTGCTGAACACACCTCACACTGAGCACCCTCACGCTGGCCCTCCTCGGCCACCGCTCAATGGATTACAAACTCGGACCCCCAACCAGGGAGAGCAAGAGCATGCCATAGGAACCTTGCAAAGGCACGTGTTATGGAAACAGCAAGGGCCAAAACAATCCATACACCCATGTGGTGGCAGAATTCATCATCAAATTCTGCACAAATGGGATGGGAAAGAGGTCAGACTACCTTGGCCAGAAAATGCCTGTTGTCTTGCAACTCTTCCCTTCCCGCCCCCAACAACTTGGCAGAAGGTAACTGCTCCCTTACCTGAGCTCTCCTGTTCCCTACTGCCACAGTGTGCTAGAGGAGTCAAGTTCTGGGCCAGATATCCCTGGGTTTGGGCCTCACCTCTGTCACTCACTCCTCTTAGCTAAACTCAAGTGGGGTTAATAATCTCTTAACTCATAGTGTCACTGAAGAGATTACCTATAAAACTATAGTCAATGCCTGCATGTAGCAGGCACTCAGTAGATGTGCTCCTGCTCTATCCTTAAGTGAAATGGGAGGCGGGGCCAGAGAAGAGTCACTCTAATCTGCTGGATAACAATGAGACATACTACATCTTGCGTTACAGAACCTTGTTTCTAAACCCGGGGTGATTTTGCCTCCCAAGGGACACTTAGCCATGTCTGCAGACTTTTTTGGTGGGGACACAGGGTCTCCATCTGTTACCCGGGAAAGAGGAAGGTGTGTCATCATAGCTCACTGTAACATCAAACTCCTGGGCTCAATCCTCCTCTGCCTCAGCCTCTAGAGCAGCTGGGAGTACCAGTGCATGCCACTACATACACCCAGCTAACTTAAAAAAATTTTTTGTGTAGAGATGGGGTCTCACTATGTTTTCTAAGCTGGTCTGGAACTCCTGGCCTCAAGCAATCCTCTTGCCTCATCCTCCCAAAATGCTAAGATTACAGGCCTGAGCAAATGCACCCAGCCTGGAGACATTGTTAACTGTCACGACTGGAGGTGGGTAATTGTGATCACCTATCTCCTGAGTAAAGGCCAGGGTTGCCACAAGGCATCCTACAATGCACAGGACAGTCTCCGCTCCAAAACAAATAATTACTCATTCCAAAATATCAACAGTGCCAAGGCTCAGAAACCTCATAACCTGTTGTAGGGGAAGAGAACTCAGTCCTGACCCGCTTCCTTCCCATCTATCTATGCTGCCCTTACCACTGCTTTAAAAACCAGGTCTCTAGAGATTGAAGCATCAAAAGCTGGGCTGAGAAGCAGCCCCATTGTCCTGCCTCTCACTTTCTTCCCCAAGTGCACATACAAACCTGCCAATGCCGGTGGACAGGATGGCAGTGGAGGTCTTCAGCTCCTCATAGAGATCAGCACCATTGAAGGGGAAAGCTGAGAACTGAGCCAGCAGGACCCGCCTCAGGGCGACCAGGGCCTGCCAAAGGGGTAGGGACGGGTCAGGCTCCAAAGCAGCCCATAGGAGCTGGCATCATACACCCCCGGCCCCCCCCTTAATCCCTGGAAACCCGCTGTTACCCTTGGTTTAGGATGGACATTTAAAGACACCCAGATCTGGGCCAGGCGTGGTGGCTCACGCCTGTAATCCTAGCACTCTGGGAGGCCGAGACAGGTGGATTGCTCAAGGTCAGGAGTTCAAAACCAGCCTGAGCAAGAGAGACCCGTCTCTACTATAAATAGAAAGAAATTAATTGGCCAACTAATATATATAGAAAAAATTAGCCAGGCATGGTGGCGCATGCCTGTAGTCCCAGCTACTCGGGAGGCTGAGGCAGGAGCATTGCTTGAGCCCAGGAGTTTGAGGTTGCTGTGAGCTAGGCTGACACCAGGGCACTCACTCTAGCCTGGGCAACAAAGCAAGATTCTGTCTCAAAAAAAATAAATAAAGACACTCAGGTTTGGAGTATGGAGATCAGGAGCTCACCTTATAAGACAAGCCACACTTCTGGGCTACCTCCTCCAGGTTTGCAGAAACCAGGTCCACCACTGAAAACAAAACACGTGTAGCTGATTGGCAGGAAGGGCAGCCTGGGGCCTCGCAGTTGGTGCTTCCTCATATGTAAAATCGGGTATCAATTCTACCTCCCAGCAGCAGTCTCCAGGGGCCAGGGTCAAATAAAAAAGCCGCAGGACCTGGCCAGGTGGCTGGCACACAGTAGGGGGCCTACCCTGCCTCGGGGCTTGGCTCCCCACTCCCACCCTTCCGGAGCCTCTCCAGAGGCGTGGGGGGCTGAGGAGAGAAGTGGCCCTGCAGGAAGGGAGGGGACGAGCCGGCAGGTATGCCAGGGCACCGGTGTCAGCCCCCACGGGTCTACCCGGGCCGAGTGCGGGGCGCGCAGCTCCCCCGCACGCGCACGCGCGGTCACCTGTCTTGATCCCGCGGCTCCCCAGAAGCTGGACCATGTCCTGGGTGAGGCCCGGGCACAGTCCGGCCCTGAGCACGCCCATGCTCCCCGCAGGCCGGGACGGCGCGGGCAAGCTGCGGGGCTGCCCGCCACGTGGGCATCCGCGGGGCTCTCTCCAGACGCCCCTCTGCGCGCCTTTCTGGAGCAGCACTGGCGTGCCAGCTGCGGGAGGAGGGGGCGGCGCGGAAGGTGAGGGGACCATCCGCCCTCCCGGGGCCCGCCGGGACGCCAGCGCCCAGGGCCCTCCCCCTCGGGCCGCGCCGCCGCTTCCGGGTTCCAGGCTCGCGCGCGTGGCGTGGGCCAGGCCTACAGCGCCATCTGCCGGCCGCGCCGGGCGGAGCCGCGGCGCCCGCGTCCCCCTGGCCCGCACCCCCTTCCGCTGCAGCCCTCCAGCCACGACCCCCGCCCCCCACCGCGCATTCCGCCTCCACCTTCTTCCCCAACACACAGACCCTCTAAAGAGCCTCCTATGTGCCAGCGTCCCTTTCAAACGCTGGGGACAATCCCCTACCCTCAGAGAGCTTATGTTACGTGCTAGGGACAGACAATAAAAAGGAATCAGACGCATCGGATTATTACAGACTGTATGACAGGTGCTAAGAAGCAGCAAAGCACATGGAGGGAACATGCTTCTTTGTATTTTCCAAAAGTTTGTTTTTTTTAAAAAATGGGGGGGGGACACCTCTGGGCATATAGAACACAAAAGAATATGATCTGGTATTTTTACATGTCCTTTGTTTTGCCCTGTCCACTGGAAGAAATAAAACAACTTATTTTGTTTATGTGTTTTTTTTGAGACAGAGTCTCCTTTTTTGCCCAGCTAGAGTGAGTGCCCTGGCGTCCACGCTAGCTCCACGAACCCCAAACTCCTGGGCTCAAGCAATCCTTCTGCTCAGCTCCCCAAGTAGCTGGGACTACAGCAGTGCACCACCATGCCTTGCTAATTTTTTATATATATATTAGTTGGCCAATTAATCTATTTATAGTAAAGACAGGTCTCGCTTGCTCTCAGGCTGGTTTTGAACTCCTGACCTTGAGAATCACCTGCCTTGGCCTGCCTCCCAGAGTGCTAGGATTACAGGTGTGAGCCACCGCCCCCAGCCAAAAGAACTTTACATGGTTATCTCCTCACGTACCTATGAGAGAGGTGCTATTTCTAATCCCTATTTCACAGATGAGGAAACTGAGGCTCAGTGAGGCTAAGTCATTGGCAAAGGTTACACAGCTAAGTAAGCACAGGACTGGACTCCAAGCCACAACATCTTAGTGCAAAGCTAATGCTGCTTCGACATCTCCGTCCCACCCTCTGAAGTTGTATATGTTTTCCCACTATAAGGTAGGTTCCTTGAGAGCAGAGATCATGTATAGCCCATCTTTGTGTCCCTCTGCGACATCCGCCATTGTCACGCAACACATGAAGGGACTCCAGATCGAGGGTGTGGCACATTCGGAATTCTAGCAGTGAAGCCTGGTCCTGTGTGAGCTCTGAACCTTCTGGGCTTTCCCTGTGTGTACACAACTGGACGCGGCAGGGTTTGCTGCCTCCGGTTTCCAGACATAGAGCCTCAGCATCTACAGGCAGTTTCCCACCCCCAGAGACCCTTCCCACGACTGCGCCCCTCCCAGGGCCCCAGCCGCCTCCCTCCATGCCCAGGTGCCTTTTTCTCACCACCCTTCTCTTCCGTCCCTGGGCAGCTCGCAGGTGTTGGCCTTTTGAGATCTTCAGAGAAGGGCAGGGCTGCCGTAAGCTCAAAGTATTGGAGCTGGAAGGGGCCTACGTTAGGCTCGTGAAGTTTGTTCCCTGGCTCTACCCATCTGGTGACGCTGCAGTCACGAGCGAGCCTGGCAGCAGCAGCCTGCAAGCAAGGGGAGGCTGGCCTCTAATTGTTACCTCTGTGATGATTATGAAGTCAGCTCATTGCACCCCCATCCCGCCCAAACTAAGGGTGGGCTCGCTACCCCTATAGTTTCTCTCTGCTTCCTGTCAGCTTGGTTGTCCTGCATGGTGATGGCTGTGGTCCCAAACAAACCAGATGGCATCAGAAGCAGTCTGTAAAGTGGGAGATGGGGAAGAGGCCATAGTGAAGAAAGAAAAGCTCAACGTCATGAATGTACTCAATCAACTGCCAAAGCCCTTTCCAAACCCCAAGTCTATGAACCGGACGGTCACCACCAAAGGACTCCCACTGCCTCCCAGAGGCAGTTTGGTTAATTTCTTGGAGGAAGATACCATCAATCTACCGTAAGACACGAGTCTAGTCTTTCTTCCTTTCTGAGGCTGGAGCTGGGGGGTGGGGAGAGAAACTTAAAGAAGCCTCACTTCCTTAACTCGTCACAACCCAGTCCCTGGACTCCCAGGGAAGACCATGTGTGCGGGTTGGACCTGCTGTCTATGTATTCCTGAGCTCCAGATCAGTTCTTGCAGGCATGTGGACCTCCTACTCCAGGAGGCCTTCCTGGATTAATCAGTTTTGTCGATATGTTCCTCATCCTGCTTTGGCTGTGGTCCTTGTCACCAACTGCCACACCCCCACGGCTCCTCACCCTCAGACGTCTTCACCCACCTGATACGTTCCCCAGAGCCTGCCTGCCTGTAGATTAAGGCTTACCTTTCCTCCTCAGTGAGTCTGGGTTTCCTCTGCTTCATTCCGCAAAACCCTTTGAGCACCTGCTCAGGGGGTCTGGCCCACTGTTAAGTCCTGGGAATGTAGTCTGGAGAGCACAGTTACTGTCTTCCACGAGCTCCTATCTGGTGCACGGAGGTCAGGGGATGGGGTCAGGTAATAATGAGGGTGACACAGCATGGTCTGGTAGGTGTGTGACAGGATGCCTTGAGGAACCAGAGGGCTTAAGAGGGGCTTGGTATACCTTGGGAGACAGTGCAGTTAAGAGAGGCTTCTTGGAGGTGGTGATATTTGAGCTGAATCTCCAGGGAAGGGAAGGAGTTAGCCGGTGCAGAGGTGTTGACACAGAGTAATGAGGGCTGAGGGAATTATATACAGGGTGTTGTCATGGGTGTGTGACCTGTACAGTCACACACAGCCCCACACTTAGAAGGGACCTTGTACTTAGTCTAATGCTCTGTTGTCACCATCTTGAAATTCTTAATTTTTGGATGAGGGGCTCCACAAACTATGTAACTAGTCTTAATCATATGAAAGGGACAATGGTGTCCATCCCCTAAACCGCCTGTAAGTAAACAGATATGGCTAAAGTGACAGATGCTTGTAGGAAACTTATGGTTTTATGGGAAAGTCTTGGGCTAGAAGCCTGAGTTCAAATCCAAGTTCTACCACTTAGATCTATGGCCTTAGACAAGTTAAGATCAGGGACTCTCAGTCCCTTATTTGCAAAATGGGGCTAACACCCAGCCAGCAGAGCCGGTGTGAAGATCAGGAGGGCAGGTCCAACATAGGGCCCGGTGCCTATGGGCCTTCGGTGCCCATGTCAGCATCGGCATTTCCAAGAAGTGAATCTGAACTATGGATTCATTAGGACAATCTGAAGCATAAATGACATCAACACCCAGACCCACCACCCTACAAAGAGCCTTGGTGGAGGAACCATTTATTCCAAACATCCACCCAGGGCTAGCACTAGGGGCTCTGGGCTGACCCAGATTTCTCAGGAAGAGGTAGGCCGATGGGGCTGGAACTCAGGGAGGGAAAACTTGGCCCATCAATCAATCACCTGTGATGTGGGAGGCTGGCCCGGAGTAAGGGATGCACATACTGTGGATTTTGGCCCATTAATGGGTCAGGAAATCCTTCTAGTTGGTGGAAAACAGTGTGATAAAAATGAACTAAAATAGAATTGGCAATTCCAGAGCCCCTCACACATTAAATACTGGATGGGTGCACCTCATCAGTAAAAAATATTTTAAATAGTAGGAAGTCATGCACAAGGTTTTCCTTTGTAATAGCAAAGAATTGGTGATGAATATCCATGTAATGGAAAACCGTACGAGTTAAACTGACTGAACCAGAGCTGGATGTATCAATATAGATGAATCTAAACCCACTGTTGAGTGAAAAAAAGCAAGTTGCAGATAGATATATATATATATTGAAGATACCTTTTATTTATATATAACATCTAAAAACATGAGGAACAGGCGAGGCCCCAGGCCTGGCCCTTGGGTGGAATGGGCTGGGTGGCCTCCTTCCTCTGACTCACCTGTCTCCCCTCCCTCTCCAGGAAGCCGATGCCAATGGTGGATTCTGAATGCAGCTCCGACGACACCACCATCTCCCAGATCTCATCCACCTTGCTGAACCCCATCAAACTGGCCGTCACCCAGCCCAACAGCAGCTTCTTTGCGGGGATGCTGGAGGGGGAGCTGAACAGACTCAGCTTTTCCTCGATGATCAAGACAGAAAAGGGGGACCTGGCCCTCTGCCCACGCTCATCTCAGTCCCAAATGACCCCCAGGGGGCTGCTGGACCTTGACAACCCTGAGCTGGATACAGACACCTCTTCGACACACTCAGAATCCTCTGTGGTCATGGATGTGCCGGAGGCCCCCTTCATCTGTGAACACACCGTCAGCGATTCCACAGCCGTGGTGCGTTCCCCTCGCTCACGCGGTCAGCGAGGGCCTCCCGTGCCGGGCGCCCAGCTAGGCTTAGTGGGCAACGCGAGGGTGCCTCCCACCTACATTCTGGCCTCAAGTTCATGGTTCAGGAAGGCAGAGCGGGCATGTCTGTAAAGGACTCCAGTGCAAAAAGAAAAGGCTTGATGCTGTAGGAAAAGTTCAAATCAAGTGCCACCGGGAATTCAGAGGGAAAGAAGCATTACTTCCAGATTCAGGGATAAGCTTGGTGGCTTTTGGTAATATTTGAGCTGGGATACAGAGGTAGGATTTAAACACGCAGAGATGGAGGAAAGGCATTCCGTGGAGGGGCTGACCACAGGTGGCAAAGTGTGGGAGGAGATGAGTAGCCTCCTTTGATCCCAGGTCTTAATCCAGGGCTTCTCACACTTCCATCACTCTACCTACACATCACCTGTCATCTTGTGAAAACTGAAATTCCTGGCCTCATACCTAGAGAGTCTGGGGTGAAGCCTGCTAGTCTGCATAGCGAACAAATTCCCAGGTGATAACTACTGCTGCCAGTCCATGGCTACATGTTGAGTAGCACTGGCCTAGGCTATGGGAAGGGGAATAAAGGGGAGAGGAGGGGGAATGTCATTCTGGGGTCACTTTCCAGAGGTCCTCCAATATTAGGCTATCTTACAGATAAACAACAGGGAACAGCTTTGCACAAAGCTTTATATGAGGCTGGGTGCAGTGGCTGACGTCTGTAATTCTAGCACTCTGGATGGCTGAGGCAAGAGGATTGCTTGAGGTTAGGAGTTGGAGACCAGCCTGAGCAAGAGCAAGACCCTGTCTCTATTAAAAATAGAAAAAATTAGCCAGGTGTGGTGGTGCACATCTATAGTCCCAGCTACTTGAGCTGAGGCAGGATCACTTGAGCCCAGGAGTTTGAGGTTGCTGTGAGCTACAATGATGCCACTGCACTCCAGCCTGGCCAACAGAGAGAGACCCTGTCCCAAAAAAAAGCAAAGCTTTATATCAGGTGATGGATATAATTTGAGTTGTATTTTAGGAAGATAAATCTGGAAGCCCCACTGTTGGATGGCCTAGAGCAGCATTTCTCAAAGTGTGATCCCAGACAGAGTGTGTCAGCCTCACATGGCAACTTGTTAGAAATTTAAATTCTTGTCTCCCCCCACCATACTTAGGCCTCCTGAATCAGAAACTGTGGAGTTGGGGCCAGCAATCTATATTTTAACAGTTCTCCAAGTTATGCTAATGCACAGTAAAGTTTGACAACCACTGGCCTAGATGGAGGAGAAACTGAGAATGAGAGACCAGATAGGAGACAGCAGGCCCAGGAATCTGAGTCATTATAAAAACTCCCTGAGATGCCTAGCCAGGCTTGGCAGCCGTTATTGTAGCACAAAGTGTATGGGCTCTGGAGCTAGGGGTTTGAACCTCGGCACTATTGCTTAATTGTGTGACCATAGCCTAGTCACCTGCCCTCTCTGAACCTGTAACCCCATTTGCAATGAGCAAGGTGGACAAGATGATCTCTAAGTTTCCTCTCAACTAACATAGCCTAGAAGAAATATGGAATGAGGGGTGCACCCTAAGGTGAGCGGGGCTGCCCAGGGAGAGTAGCACGTGCTGTGGGGCAGGTGGTTCCACACCCCGTGTTGCAGTGCCTCCCACCTTCCATCAGACCTGCCTGAGCCCAGCAGGAGCAGGGGATGAGAGTGGGGCATTCTGACTCCAGTTGGGGTGGAGGGTGCAGGAAAGACATGACAGGTCTGAGAGACATGACAGGTCTGAGCCTTGGGCCTCTCTTTTCCCCTAGGTTTCCTGGACCTATGCCTTGGGCAAGCAGCAGGTCAGTTTCTACCAGGTCCTGTTACAGGAGGTGGCCCAGGAGAAAGAAGATGGGTCACCCAAGGCAAAGAATCGTCCGTGGATCTTCAACAAGATCTTGGGCACCACCGTCAAGCTGATGGAGCTGAAGCCTAACACGTGCTACTGCCTCACCGTCCGCGCAGCCAACACAGCGGGGGTGGGCAAGTGGTGCAAGCCCTACAAAGTGAGCCCTGGGGGTCAGGGAGGGGAGTCTGAAACCAGGGACCGGGGCTTTGGAGGTTGGGAGCACCCGTATACCCCCACAACTCATCTCCTTGCTAGGCTGCCTTTTGCCTGGGCCAATAGCATTAATACCAGGCTGCTTTTTTCTGGGAGGTTTAAGGATTAAGCCACTCTAGGGCCCACCAGAAATGCAAACTAATGTATTCACTCAGCATCACTATAATGCTCATTTTCCAAAGCTGCTAGGTTTTAGATTCCTCAACCAAGTACCAATAATGGTGAGGGGGCTGGGAAATCAAAGGCATTGAGGGAAAAAGAGGGAAGACAGGCTAGAGGGGGATGGAACAGGAACAGCCTGGGGGTGGGCAGGGGCCCGGGGGACAGGCCTGAGCACAGGTAGCCCCTTGAGTTGGAAACCACACGACTGGGGAGGCACAAGTTTGAGTCATGCCTCTTTGGATGTGTTTCGTGTGTCAAGGCTAGTTTGGATAAAGCTAAGATCCCACTTAGCGACAAAAGAGGATGACAGAGACAAAGGCTCAGGTCTGGGAAGGAATTCTGAGGGGTTTTCTTGTTTCACTTCAGTTTGCAACCGTGGCCACTGACTTCAACAGCTTCCCCGAGAACAACCCCATCCAGATCACCGTGCAGCGCAAGGAACCCCAGCGGAAAACCGTGTGCATGGGGCTGGAGGAGATGCGGAGGCTAGAAGATCTGGAATACCTATTTCCCTACTAAGAGGGAGAGCCCCAGGAAGCCCCTTACCTACCTTGAGCTTCGGCCCAGGGCCCTCAGGAACCAGCAGCATGCTAGGGAACCGCTGACCACCCTGCCGGCCCAGGCCTGGCAGAGTGGTACTGGAACCCCACCCCTGGGCCGGGGCCAAGGTTGGACGGGGCCCCCATTCACCTGGAGACATCTCAGGCCCGTCCAGGCTCAGCCACTGCCCACACCTTCTAGGTTTCCTCCTTCCCCAGATCTGGGCTGGGTCCAGGTCTCCCATTAAAGCAGCGCAGGTCATCCAGCATCCCAAAATTCTGCCTCATGTTGTGGACAGCCGCAGATGGGCCAGCACCAAGAGTCCAGACCGGTGGGGGAGGGGGGTGGAAAAACAAGGGTGGCTGGGCAATGGCATGCTACTGCCTCCCACTGCTTGGCTCTGCCATCAGCCTGTCCTATGTGGGGGAGACTGGTACACTCAAAGACTAAAACATTCTTAAATCAAGAGAAACAGCGATTGAGAACCAATGTGGCAGCCCACAGACTGTTAACAGGCTAGACTTGAGCTCTGCTGGGACATGTACAAAATGCCCAAGCTTTAGGGCGGGTCTGGTTTAATCCTGGCTCTACCTCTTACAGAATGCGAGGGCATGGGCTAATCACTTAGGCTGCTTTTGCTGTTTTCTCCTAAAAAATCTGGGGGTGTGAGCACCTTCCAGACGTGGGTGCAGGGTGTGTGAGAGCAGAACAAGTACCTGGCACTGAGGGGCTCAGCGACTGGTAGCTCCCTTTGCCCGTCACACGGACGCACCGCAGAGATGTGCAGGGCAGAAGCTGGGCAGCACAGCTAGGTGACGAGCAAAATTGTAGACAGGGCTGGAGGAGGGTGAGAAGGAACCAGATATTAGAAGTGCCCCGGGCCTGAGCAGTTCACATGATGATGGCTTGAAAGCCTAACCTGAGTTTATGCCACAGCCCGGCTTGGCATTGGATGCAGGGAGGAGATGGAGCCAGGGTGCGTGCAGGGAAAGGTCTTAGCCCAAGGTCTGAGGTCTTGGTGGAGATTCCTTTCATTATCTGAAAGTTCTCCTGGGGCAAAGAACCACCCTCCACACCAGGCACAGTGGCCATGCCTATTATCTCAGCAGTTTGGGAGGCTAAGGCAGGAGGATTGCTTGAGGCCTGGAGCTAAGACCAGCCTGAGCAACATAGCGAGACCTTGTCTCTATACGATATTTAAAAAAAAAAAATCAGCTGGGCACAGTGGCATGTGCCTATAATCCTAGCTGTGTGGGAGGATCACTTGAGCCAAGGTGTCTGAAGCTGCAGTGAGCTATCAACGCACCACTGCACCATAGCCTGGGCGACAGAGCAAGACCCTGTCTTTTTTTGAGACAGAGTCTTACTCTGTTGCCTGGGCTAAAGTGTCATGGTGTCAGCTAGCTCACAGCAACCTCAAACTCCTGGGCTCAAGTGATCTTTCTGCCTCAGCCTCCCAAGTAGCTGGGACTACAGGCATGCGCCACCATGCCCGGCTAATTTTTTCTATATATTTTTAGTTGGCCAATTAATTTCTATTTTTTTTTAATAGAGATGGGGTCTCGCTCTTGCTCAGGCTGGTTTCAAACTCATGACCTTGAGTGATCCTCCTGCCTCGCCCTCCAAGAGTGCTAGGATTACAGGTGTAAGCCATTGCAACGGGCCCAAGATCCTGTCTCTTAAAAAAAATAAAATGAAATAAAAGAACCACCCTCCACATCAGACCATATCCATTTCTGCTCCAAACTCTTATGACACCATACCATACACTGCTTCCTGTTGGCGAGGGCATCCTCTGGGACAGCCACCGCCTTCCCCTCTCCATCCTGAGGGCCTGGTGCAGTGCTTGCACCGGCAGGGCCTGAATCGTGCTGCAGGAGAGGCAGAGGCATCTCCCAGAGCAGGCCTGGCCAGCAGGACTCTGTGAGAATGAAAACTATCTGTGCTAATATCGGGGCCTCTAGCTAACATGACTGAGGAACTGTACGTCTGCACATCTAACTGTGCTTAATTCTAGTTCATGTAAACAGCCACATCTGGCTGTGTCTACCATAGTGGACAGCACAGCCTTAGATTCTCCTCTGGCCACTGTCATACTGGCCTTTCCCTTGCAGGCACAGGGAAAAGCAAGGAAAGGCAACCTCCTGGTCAGTGTGGTTTTGATGCATTCCTGTGCAAGGGAAGGGACTAGACACACTGATTTAGCATTTAGGTCCTTAGTTAAGGCCTGGAAGTTCTAGGACAGAGCTTATAACCCAAACACACAAAATATAAGTTATTTATTTGGTCACAGAAGCTGGGGGCTGAGCCTAACACAGCTGATGCTTGGAAAGGGCAGCAGCAGAGGCACAGGCAGAGCCCAGCCTCCCCCACGCATCAGCACAAGCAAGGTACAGGCCAGTGGTCCGGGGCTGAGTTCGGTGAGAACCTCCGTGACCTTCCAGTTCCAGCTCTAGGGCATGCCACAGGCAAGGGACCTGTGGGGAGACCCCACCGGGTCTGCAAGGACAGCAGGCCATGTGTGTTCTCAGGTCATCGCTGGTGAGGAGGGTGTGCACAGCCACCCTGGCCTTTGTTCTCTGGCAGGGCAGGCAGCCGGCAGAGGCCGAGTCCAGAGGGGGGTCAGAGAGAGCTGTGGGACTTTTCATCTCCTCCATCTGTGGAGAGAGGAGGGGCATGAGCAAAGGAGGCTGCCACGTGACCCCAGGGCCCACCAGAGTCGTCAAGAGCCTGTGACCATCCCTGCTCTAGCCTCCCAAAATCAGGCTACCCACCCACTGCCTGCCTCGGCAAGGAGAAGCAAGTCGTTTGGCCTGGCCCTGGGATGCCCATGGCCAAACAGCGACGATCCTTTAGAAGTACATTTGCTTTAGGTCCCAGAGAGTATTCATCCTATCTTTGATATTCCTGTCTATGATGTTTGACAATTCTCAAGAGACAGGTTAACGAAGCTCTCTGCAATTGCACACTACAAGGCAGAAGCAGGATTTGAACTCAGGTCTTGTGACTCTGAAGCCCAGTGCTGGGGAAACCCTCGATGCACACTCTAGAGAGCCTCTCCGCTAGCCTCCGTAATTAGGTGGCTTTCCCACTTGCCCGCTGAAGACCTGTACCACACACCTCCTCAGGGACAGTGAGAGCCCCTGGAGGGCCCTGCGGAATCCTACGCCACAAGGGACAGGGTGCAAAGGCAGGAGAGCTGAGCACGCCACCCACCACCTCCCACACTCACATCCGGAGGCATTTGTCCTTCCCACCGCTTGCCACCCTCTGGCCGTCTGGACTCCAGTCCACAGCGTACACCTAAACCGGGGAGGAGGAAGAGGAAGGCAAGTCGGGGGGTGAGGGGAGGACAGCTGGGCTGCGACCCCAGCCCCTCCCGTGCCTACGCAGACCGCCCTACCTCATCCGCGTGGCCGGGCAGGTCTGTGGCCAGCTTCTGGGCCTTCACGTCCCACACCTTCAGCGTGCTGTCGCTGCTGCCGCTGACCAGCAGCCGGCTGTCAGCTGACCACGCAATCTGGTACACGGCAGCCACGTGGCCACGCAGGGAAGCCAGGTACCTGGGCCAGGGGAAGACGATGGATATTAAAGTCTGAAGGGTTCCCCGTGCCCACAGCAGTGGTTCTCAACCTTGGCTGCCTGTTGAGATTTACCTGGGAACTTTTACAAAATCATACTGCCTGGCCCCCCAACAGACCATTTTAATCACTGCCAGTCATTACTATCTGCAAAACTTCTCCGAACGAACTGCTTCCTTGCCTCTTGCCAGGCCCCCATACCCGCACGACTCTGCGTGTCCCAGACTCCGGTGCAGCCACCTGCTTAGCCCATCTGCCTGACACCCCCCCAGCACACGGCTGCTTGCTCGCAGGGGCATGGAATAAAAGGCCTGGAGCTTTCAAGTCAATACAGTCCAGCTGTGTCATTTTGGACAAACCAACAGGCATCTCTGAGACTCAGTTTCCTGATTTTAAAAAGGAACCGAATTGCCCATTTCCAAGGGTTGCTGCGTGAAAACCCGCGATAACTGACACGTAGGCTCCCCTTCAGCCCCAGTCAGGGCTTCCCTGGCTCCTTTTCCCTCCTGGCCTGGGCCTCTGCCTGTCCTGCGACCTGATTAAGCTCAAGGGCATTGAACCTCACCATGCCAAGGCTTCCCAAACTTGGATGGGTCACAGAATCACCTGGCGACCTTGCTAAAATGCAGACTCTGACCCTTAAGGTCTGAGGTGGAGCCCACGACTCTGCATTTCTGTCAGGCTCCCCGGTGACACTGATGCCGCTGGTCTGTGGCCTTCACTTTGAGGATGGCCACGTAATGATGGTGCCACACACCCACCTACCACTTCACCTCCACTGGAGCTGCATTCCTGCCCTCGCGCTAGCTCTAAGATCACTTTCCCCTAAGACACGAAATGATTTAGCATTTTCAGGGCCCGCTCAGTGCTGGTCCTCAATATACCATCTCATTTAAACCTTGCAACAAAGCTGAGAGGTAGAGAGCGGGTCTGCCTATTACAGAAGAGGAAACAGGCTTGGAAAAGGCCCACTCTGGTAAGTGGCAGCGCCGGGCTCCCCCTACCATTCACTCCTTAGAGAGGAGCAGTGGCCGCCCCCACTCACTTGCCCGTCCTGCCATCCCACAGCTTGATGGACTTGTCGAAGGAGGCACTGGCCATGACGCGGGAGTCAGGAGAGAAGAGCACCTGGTTGATGAGGGCCTGGTGTCCCGTCATCCGTGCCAGGGGCTTCTTGTCCTCTGCTGGGGACCACAGGAATAAGGTGAAGTCGTCTGAGCCAGACACCAGCCTCTCTGGGCCCAGGCCCTAGGGGAGGCAGAAAACACACCATGTTGGACGTGGTCTTAGACAGGGGAGCCAGACCTCGGCAGCAAACACACGCCACTGATTACTCAACACCAGGAGCGGACAGAGGCCAGGATTAGGAGGAACAGGCCACTCAGTGGCAGCCACTCAGTGACATGCGAGCCCAAATAAGCCACTTCACCCAAAAGGAAAAAGAAATTCTACACACACGGGATGATCTCTAAGGTACAATATTACACAAAAAAGTAGGGCATGAAATGACATTAAAAAGGGGAAGGACTTTATGTGGCTTATGTGTTTGTATATACTGTACACATACACGGATGTGTATGTATGAAATCTCTGGAAGGTGACACAAGATACTGGCAGCACTGGATACTTCCAGAAGGAATGGGTGACTGCACAAGAGAGACAGGAGACTTTTTATCTTCTACTTTTTTGTATTCT